CTATAATGGTTTGAATCCAAATGAGATCAAGAAAGGGACACCGAGGAACATATGCCCATGAACAAAAGACGAAGTCTTAAAGAAACGTTATTAATATAACGTTCAATTTTTAAAATATTACACAAAACAGTGCATTCTTGTAATACTAGCAAACGGTCCGGTAGCTACCTGACTTTTTTTCATACTGATTTTGACTGTTTTCATAACGTACACTTCCTAACGTGTCGTTAAAATAAATTTCGCCTTTGGTACTAAATAATTTTTCCATATGGATTTTCACACGTGTTTATACTCGCAGCTGAAGCATTTTCCACCGCCATTTTCACAGCTGAAGGTGATTTTTCATCATTTATTATCATCAATAAACTGTATACAAAATTTCAGCTTTGGTACCGTGCATTTTTTTCTTACGTTTTTCGAGGCGCGGGTGGCTCTATTACTCCTGTCTCCATCCGAACAATGGCTGCTGAAGGTCGTTTTGCTTATGTACCATAAAAAAGCTTACATATGTGTGAAAATCAGCCTTGGCTCGATTGGTCACAAAAATGTGTTATGGGCTCTCGGACTATCTCGGACGATAAGAATTAATAGCCTCTGGCGATAATGGTTATAAGTCCTCTCGATCCCATCGGTGCATCGCGACTCGCGAACTGTTGGAACGAGTTTAACGAATTGAATCAAGGTGTCGACCTTCGTAACTGAACCGCTTATTTGTACGAGGTCGAGGGTGCGCCGCGGCTCTTCAGTGTTCACGTTCCCATTTCCGCGTGGTACCGCATTTCAGTCAGTTGTCAATTACTTCTATCAACGATTCTCTGCGAGTTGCAAGCTCCTTCCCACGAATTCTGAGATACGCTTATCGCTAATGGCTTTCATGAATTGCACAAGCATTTGCGCGATAATTCTAACGAGAATCTAGTGAATCCGCATTTCATACGATCTGAACTCCCCGAGTAATTCTGTTTTTTGCTTCGAAGAGAGAAAGAGAGATAAAAAAAAAAACAATTAAGATACGCCAACGCTAATTTTACTTAAAATGCACATTGCACAAGTACATTGCCATATTTAGAAAAATATTGCGACCGCATCCTTCTAAGGCGCGAAAGCGCACAGTATTTGAAAATTGTTTAACGACCTTCACCAAGAACTTGGTTGATGAAGAGGATGCTTCTGACTGCTATTTATACTCGCGTTAGTTGGCATGATGTGCCCGCGCGATTCATTCGGAGCTAATGATGAATAGTAAGTTGCCTATACACGTAAGAATTTCGATCGACGCCGGTGCTATCGATTTCGGTCAATCAATTAAAAAATTCAAATCATAATAACGCGAAGTACAAGTATGATCATTGATACTTTATATGGTTTTTCACAATTTTGTGTGTTTCATTCGTGTGCACTTTTGTTTCTTGTATTGGCATTTACCTATTTATCTATTTGATAATCTAAATTTAACCAGGTGTGAAATCCGTCCATAATTATTAATTCGCATTTTTATTGATTAATTCCAATTAACGATCGAATCACTTATGATTTTAATAAATGGCTTACCCAGACGATTCCTAATTGACGGCATCTTTTGCGGTGAGAAAAATTGTGTAATTAAAATCGAATCTCGATCGATCGACGACAGATCCCACGCTTTTAGACACCGCGGATGATAGATAAGAGAACGATTGATAAAAAAAAGCGCTAAACAGTTTAGGACGGGACAAACTAAAAGAAAACGGCGCCTAGTCGCGACGGTAGCTTGTCACTGGCAAAAGTTCGCGGCCACTCTGGCAGCCAAACTGCCACCGTTGATGTTACCACAGCGTAGATTGCCTCAACGCGACGTAACCAACTAAATAATATAGCAGACCATCCGCGTCCGTCATCAACGAGACGGCCACGTTGGTATCGCAACATTCTTATTTGCGACTGTACTTATCTTGCAGGTCGCGGGTCACGTGCCGAACCAACTCGTGTCTTTTCCATCGGGTCGTCAGTGGCCGCTATTTTCGTTAACACCCACGCACCATTATTCTGATCCAGTGATTGCGTCACGAGTCACGTTGCGAATTCGTTGAAGAAGTGGAGGATACGTATTAAGGGCAAACTTATTGCACTCGGTAGATGCTTTGCACCGAAAACTAATCCGAAAATAGAATGAAATCAAATGCAAAAGACATTGAATAGTAAAAATATATTTGAATGAATCGAAATCGAACAGAGTGACGTACCCTTGTCAATAGTTCGTACAAAACTGCTGCTGCGCTCCTTTATATGGGAACCTTCAGGATTCCCTCGTATCGACGGGATGTATATTTCATCACATCAATTCTTAGACTTAAACTAAACAGATCGGCGAGCGATAACGTTTTAGGATACATGACAGTCGAAGGTTTATGCGCCGAAACGAATACCTCAAAATCGTACTTCGAAGTATGCTAACACCTTAATTTCATAATAAGTCGAACCGAGTAATGACAATGTGATATTTAAAGATTCAGGATGCAAATCATTCTTTCTTTAAATACACGTATACGTGTTCATTTATTTTGGCCCAGGTAAACAACGATAAGACAGAAATGTGAAACGATGAAGTTGACATGGATAATTGGTACCAAATGCCGACATTGCCAAAAATGTTAGCATCGAATAAATTGACAGTCCGTGCAGCGGAAGGAAATAAAATTAAAACACAAAATTTCTTGACTCTTACCACTCGAATTTTCAATTAAATCATCGGTTTTAATTGAAACAAGGGATTCATATAATGCACTCGCAACGGTAAGACAATGGACGAGTGCAAATAAAACAACAATGAACATAAATTGATGCAAACTTTACTCGACTCTATATGTACAAACAACGTATTCTCAGACCGCATCGGATCAATCCAAAATATTCAGTTTGCTGTTGGTCTTCCTAAGTTGCGCCCGCCAGGGGATGATCTGCGCGGTATCGTCATCGTCGTTGTTGTCGACCGCCTGCGTTCCAGGATTCACGGAATTCGCATCCAAGCTCTTCTTTTCCTCGGTTTCCGGCTTCTCTTCCTGTCGGTGGGTGCGCAACGGATTGCTTTGGGAAGGCGAGACGTCCCTTTTCGGTGACGAAATCGCGTCCACCTTGACAGTTGACGTCACGTGCGCTTGATTCAGTCTATAAAGAGAATCAATAAATCAATGATTAACATGCATATGATATCTTTTTGTAGTTTTGTATACTGTTGCATTCCGTAGAGGTGATGTTTATTATATTCAATAAGAATCAACCCCGAACGGAAATTTATGCGAAGGTTTGTATTAAGCGTGTACAGCAGTAATGAACTCAGTAGATTTGGCGTAGAGCTTTGTGACTTTAGACTAGACAGAAGGAACTTTCTCTCTAACAAATTTTAGGAAAATACGTATATATGTATACACTCTCGGAAGAAACAGTGGAGGGAGGAATTAGTAAGGGTTGGTAAGCAGAGGTCGAAGATTAAAAATGACGCAGAGTGCAAAGTGGAGGATGATGTAAAGCTGGATGTTGACAAGATGAATTGGAGTTAAGGATGAGGTCATTGGGGTCTGGAATAATTGGACGAGGTATCTTATCTATGTATGCTTAGTTTGGTATACAACAATATAATATTAATTGACTATTCTAGTTGTACAATGTTTAAATTAATTATTGTGATTCTACTTTAAATAAAAAAATACAATTTCTGGGATTTTAATAGTTTCAATTAAAAAATGGATGCTTTCTTAATCGTAGTTCCCACATTTCCCATCACCAAAAACCGAAATAAACAATATTATAACATAGGAAATAGATACCTTTTTTCGTCGTTATCCTTCTTAGCAAGGAGCTGTCTCTTCCAAGCAGGTATCGCCTTCTGTCGTCTCTCTTCGTTTTCTCTGGCAATTTGCTCTTCCAATTCTTTCTTCGCTCTTTCGGCAGCTTTCCGCGCGAGCATTTGTCGTTTCCATATCGGTATCACGTTTCCAGAACTGTCCTTCTCAGGAATCTATAAAAAAAAATCAACGAATGAACCAATGGCAAACGACAAACAGTGAATCTGTAGCAAAGAGAATTTACCTGATCCACGAAATTCGAAACGCTGAACGTTTTGTTGATTTCCGACATGAGATTCTGTTCCTGCGTTTTCTCCACTTGAGCCATCTCCACTTTCAGCTTCTTTATCCCGGGTATGTCCTTGGTTCTCTTCAATTCTGCGATTAAGTCGGTTTTTTGAACGAAGAACGGCTCTGAAACTGATACGACGTGTAATAATTAAGCAAGAAAAAATATAATAACGATGTCAAAAAAGTCTTTCTTGAAAACATCGTTCCCATAGTAGGTATATATTTTTTTATAGCAGATTTGCAGTTCGGTTTCGCTTACCATTAGTCATAGACACACTGCGCGGCGGCGGCGCGGAAAATGTTTTAGTCGCGTTTATTTTTGCGGTGGTTCTTCTTAATTGGATACTCGTAAGATCCTGAATACTAATAGTTGCAAGCGGTTGTGGGCTTCTTGTTGACTCGGATTCGGCGTTAGCGATCTCGCCAATCCGCCGTGACTTCTCAAGCGGAGACATGGGTGGCGGGGGTGGACCCGGAGCTGATTCTTTTCCCTCCGTTTCCGGTCCACCGGCACCCACGTCCTCGGCTAATTCCTCTTCCTGGACTTGCTCGCTCTCTTGCCTGGTGCATCCGCTTCGACTTTGAATGTCCAAATTATCTACCGACCTGTCGATGTCATTATATTAAATTGTTATAAATTGAAATTACAATACCGCGTTGAATGATGTTAAGGACTATCAGTGCTTGTTTAATATTCGAACGCAAATTATTTTAAAAAATAACTAGCCATTTAATTTATAATTGCAGCTTCTCCGTTGTATAATTATAAATAATGCTAATAGACTGGATATTATAAATAAGTAGTTATAAATTATTTTCGAAATTAATTGAAAATTAAACGAAAAATTGAATTAAATGGAACGGCAATTTAAGCCAATTGTCTAAAACTGTAGTTTTTATCAACAGATTCTGCGAAATCAAATTAAATTATATGATAAATATGATATAATATGATAAAGAGGATTTGGACTGTTTAACTGTGTCACGAACCTCGCTTTAGACAAGCTGTTCTTCGGTGAGCCCTTACAGATGCTCTTCAGATATTCGGACGGTTTCAGAAGCGTGTTCGAGTCCGCATTCGCGAACTTTGGCGGTATGAACGGCAGCACCATATGTTTATTAACCAGATGCGACGTCTGGCTCGCCTTAATTTCCTCGGTGTCCACCGACGGACTGACAGGAGCCACTTCCGGCTGGTGCTGGTGCTCGCCGTTGCAGGATACGTCGGACTTGTTGGTCGCTGTTCCGAAACAAAACCAGAGCGGGTAGGGGTAGGGAGAACGAATCGTGGCAAGTGAAATCTAGGTAAGTGTATTATATGCCCGATGAGCGACATGGTCTAGTAAGTGGCTCCCGTCTGATTCGCGATTCACCGGCATCGCTGATTTAATTATTATCATCGTTATCGCGAGCGTGGGCGCAAACATTTAAACCACTCTGGGTCGTTTCGTTCGACCCGATTAAACCCCACCCTTCCGGCTCAAGTCTCCACCAGTCTTTTTCTTTTCTTTTGCTTCCAGCTGATATTTTTTACATAAGACTTACACGAAGGCACAGGATGCCCGTTGTCGATCCTTCCATCCCGGTTCACTTCGCCAGTCGTGTCTTTCTTTTCGTCCTTGAAGTCCACGTTTTGTTTAGTGTTCACCACGAGCACAACGACGTCGTCCTTGTCTGGCGGAGGAGGTGGAGGCGGTGGTGGTGGTGGTTTCGCGAAACTGAGGAAGATAGTCCCGTTGCCACAATCCAGATACGAAATAAGAACACCGATTCTCGCGAGATTCTACTCGTCGTTCGACGCGACGATAAAAAGTAGTAAAGCGATCGCGTCTCGATTATTTTTCTCTCGCGCGGACATCCGGTTATCGGTTTGCCTACTTACCTAGCTCCGCCGTTCCCCGGTTTGATCTCTTTCTCGCTTTCTACTTGCGCCAGACTCGTCGCGTCCTTTTTCTCTGAAAATCGCATACGTTTGCTCCCGTGAACAATGCGAGCTTACACTTGGTCAAGTTTTATGCGGTTCGAATCGCAACGTACCGTGCGATGGGTCAGCACCGGCAAGCTTGCTGCCACTGTTCTTGCCGATTCGCTCGTTGCTGTTGTTCCGCGACAACGACGGAGTCGACGCGCTCGACGAAAAACACGGAATCTCGCTGCTGACGTTCGACGACTCGCTCGCGCTACTCGATCTGCTGTATCTGCGGTCAGTTTTCCGGGATCGACTGAAATCGAACATTCGTACAGACTCGATCGAATTCTACCTCTGTCAGTTCGATCAAAGATATTCAAGTCATCTCGAATCATCGCGTTAGTCGCAACACCGTTTCAGGTCGTCTCCCCGAGTCTTCGGGAAATATGCTCTGTCATTGTTCGACAATTGTCATAACGCTATAGCGGTTCTACATGCAGTAAGCACGTAGTTAAACGCGAGACTCTTATACGGGCTCGAAGTTCAAGGATCCTGGATTTGAACACAATCTTACGAACCGACAGATTCCAGCTTGAATATAGGTCGCCCGTTGGGGCTGCGAGAAACAGCTTACGATGCATTAGCGGAAACGAACGCGTTTCGAAAGCGGGAGACCATCGCGTTACGAAATCCGTGACGGCAACATATATTCGTCGAATAGCGCATTGCGCCGTACCGTTATACAGATACGTTATGTCAAGCTGTTGCAGATAAAGCGACTGTACTAACTTCTTCGATTGATTAAAAAAAAAGAAATAAATAGTAGCTGTATGATGTGTGATTTAGGATGGTATGCAGTAGGTATACTTTGAAAAATATCAGATTTGTAGTAAATCCGCATTTTTAATCAATCGCATTGTTATTGACTATATCAGAGATGGGGAACGTGCGGCCTCCGTGAGTTTCTTGTGCGGCCACCTTGTACGGCTTCAAATGTTATTTATATTTTAATGTATTCAAATACTTTCAAGCAAGAAAGAAATGCAAATATCCTACTAACTTAAATTTTCCATTAGATTTGAAAATTATTTTCCATATTATTGCTATGTTAGTTATTTATAACTTAATATTATTATTTTTCTATTGTTCCTTTATAAAGTAATAAATTTATTTAAAAATTCTTCTACTAATATTATTTTTATTTGAAGTGGTATTTAAATATGTGGTTGTTTATTAAAATTTAAAGATCTGGATAAATATGTATATGTATATGCTTAAACAAATAAAAATACCAACAGTGAAATATAAAAAATTATAGCGGCATCCCCACCTCTGGAAGAGGAATTGTTTTCTGTGTAGAATTGTTTGTCTTACTTGCAAGATGTTAGTGCAGAAGCTGTTAAAAATATGTGCAAGATACGCTCACCTCCGATCGGAATTCTCCAGTGGCTTCTTCTGCGGGCTATTGGCAACCGCACCGGTTTCCGGCTCTTGTCTCAGGCAGATTTGCTCGTACGCGTGCTCGGTTGGATCGCGAGCAATCTCAGGTTTGGCAGCGTAACCGTTCCCACCGGATGGTCGGTCGAGAACTCCGTTATTGATGTGCACATCCACTTTCACTGGAACCGAGAACGTCAACGTCGGAATTACGTTGAATGTATACCAGACCAGTAATCAATCTTATCATCTTAATTGGAAAGTACTTTTCGATTTTATAATTCCATCAGAAATAGGAATTCTTTGAAACGTGTATTCCTGCAGGTTTATAGGATAATTCGAAGTACAGAAAATATCAAAAGCTACATTCATACCACAATTCTGATGACCTAGCACTTTCAGTCGTATCACTGCACTTTTTATCAATCGTTATACCAGTTTGGTTTACGAGCAATAGCGTATCCGGGGCACTCGTGCTACTTACCAGTTAAAGTATCCTCCTTTTTCTCGAAGTGGCGATGCTTCTCGGTGTCCGCGAACAGCCGTGTGATCCTGGTGTAGACGAGATCGTGCGGGCTGTGCAGGTAGAACGATTCCGTGTCCTTCGGCTTGGCTGGCTCGCCTATGTACGCGGTCATGGGATTTATGTAAATCCCATCGCGGGGTCGCGAGCCGGGCGGATGAAGAAAGAACGGCTCTTGGAACATGCCGCAACCGCGCAACGAGCACTGAAACCACCACCAACCGAAGTTCCCATTATCGGACGCCGACGTTTCGCATACCTCTCGCACGCTCTTCCGGAAGAGTGGCTCGCACTAATTCGAATCCGGCTCTGTTCACTCGGTTCATTCCCATTTACCCGTCGTTTACCAATCAGATATTTCACTAACCGCGGACAAACCCAGGAGAGCATTCGCTTTTCTTATCGCTTTTTATGTTCCATTTTCCAGGATGCGATTGAACAACCTTTTAATCTTATATGTAAATGTAACGAGCATTGTGTAAATACCGTTAAAATGTTGATGGCACTATTAAGAAGGGTAACTGTCGAGACTGCGTAGCGATGACCCAATTTTCGAAAGAACCGACCGTACGAGGATGATTAAAAAAACTTTCAAGTCTACTTGAGTAAAATCTCGAACTTTGTATCCACGGACTTTAGATAATACAATTAATCTTATCAATTTAATATTGCGTAGTTGGAAAAGTATTGTTAGATTTTTGTCATTTTTTTATTAGATGTTCCATTATTCAAAATTAATTTTATTCGAGTATATATTGGCCATTATTATCTATGACCTTTTGCCATTTTTGGGGTAGAGTCATAATCCCATCGGAATAGAACTCAGTGATTGGTCGACCAGAGCGAGGTGCATCTTTAACATCGAAATTTGCAAAAAGGAAGCGAGCAATCCATCTACATGCTGTTGCATTTGATAAAGCATCTTCACCGTAAACACCACAAATTTTTTCCCGGGTTTGTGCAGCGTTTTTGTTTTTTTCGTAGTAAAATTGCAAAATTTTTTCAGAAATTTCACTCATTTTCACACTAATATTACTTTTGACACGATTGACGAAATACAAAACTGTCTGCATGAAAATTATAAATTGAAATGTCACCTTTTAAACGCGAGTCAGTATGACGCAATCTGATTAGTTTTGCCCGATATATGACACCAAACAGTATCTAGTGAGAAAAATCTCTCAATACTTTTCCGACTACCCAATATTATCAATTTACTAGCCTTGTCGACGGAACCCGTGGTGCAGCTGCAACTGGTGGCATCGCTCATATTCTCCGAATAATCCGAACCAGAACGATCCCTGGCCATTTTCCCGGCAACATTGGTACGGGTGCGGTGGGCCTCGCTCGTTTCCTACGGAACGTTGCCGCTTTTTATCATCTTAACTTTTTTTATTCATCCTCCTCTCTCTCTCTCTCTCTCTTTCTCTCTCTCTCTCTCTCTCTCTCTCTCGTTTCACCTATGTAGATCAGCCGCGAGCGATAACTTTCTACGCGGAAAGAGATAATTTTAAACGAGATAAACGAGCCGATAAAACAGCGAACGTAACAGCGGTTAAGTTGCGCGAGGATGCTAGTTTATCCAATCGCGGATCACGATCTACCATCGAAAAACTGCTGCGGAAAATGAAGACTTTTACTGCTTTCGGTGAGAAAATGCACCGACATGATTTGCTATAACAAAAATAAAGTTTATCTGATTCGTTATCTGAATTTGCAATTTCATTTTTTATATTCGCAATTGAATTCGGTCGTGACATCGTTAAACGAGACAGTGACACGTCAATGAGCACAGCTCACAGTATAATCAACTGTTGTTATATACACGTGTACAATTTTAATCTTAATACAAGTGAAAAGGACGTTTAACAGATTTTAATCGGGAGAAAATGTTTATGTTCGTAAAGCATCAGATGAGCAAATCTCACGCGTTAATCAGAACATTCTGCATTCAGAGGAATGCATTTGAATTATTAATTCAAAAGTATGGACGCTTGATTCTTTATAACAATCAGTCGCGGATCGTTAGGAACATGGGAAAGAATCGCTGTTGATCGGAATTTTCCCGCGGAAAGATTTGCGTTTCGCGGGAAACTCCCGTTCTCTTTCGTCAGGCAAGCGCGGATAAAATCGCGTTTCGATCCTCGACACGCCTGGATTAGCTCTTTTCCTTCGAGGGAACTCTTACGACTTTCGCGTGGCCACGGATGGTGGTTGAATCGAGGGTAGAATCGCTCGAGTGAACACGTTTATCTCACAATTGGATATCGCGTGGTCATCGTCCTTTCGTTTTCATAAAAGTTTTCCGGCGACGTTCCTTCCGTGGCACGCAATCGGGTGAAGGACGATGGGCAATTTCGCGTGACACGCTCGCAGGAGTACTATTCGACTTTCCTTCTCGACGTGCTCGCGGCAAGATTCGAGGTCGATTCGCCGATAAATCCACATGGAAAAAACGACGTCGGAATGCGATACAATTATCAAAGAATCAAGATTAATCCATCGAATACGAATGACGTCCACGCGCGTCGTAGATGGCGCACTGCTTGAGAAAGTGACGCCGTAATGTGCGAAACTAAATATATTCGATAATTCGTTTTGCGTTTGACTTAGCGCCGAGCCTGTTAATCAGGCTTGACGCGTTCTATTTAACGCTTTTACTGAACACCGTTCACAATCCAAGGCGCGAGGATCAAGCCGAGTGTACCGTTATCGGGAGGATGAGAATCGGTGGCTGTCGATCGAAAGATCGCGCGACCTCGTTTCTCTTATCCACTTACGTGTACACCCATGCAAACTGAACGATCCTCGTGAAAGACTCCGGACGAGATTCCGATGGATCCTCGTTCGAGAGAAGGCCAAGTTCACCAATCTCCACCGAGTATTGGCATCCGATTCCTTGAGGAACCACTCGGGCCGTCCGTCAATTCGTTCGGCGAACAAGAGATAGAGAAACAGAGGCAGGTGATTAACGTAACCGCGAACGCGAACTGGAACGAGAACTGGCGTTTAAACGATCCGGGGTAACGGTCCGGTTGCTTTATATACACATATTTTGGCTGCGCCGAACTTTTTTCGTTTCCGAAAGGGAGAACCCGAGAGACCGGTCGGACAACGAACTCGATCCGTACGCGGTAAGCGGCGGACCGAGACTCTCTTCGAGTCGGAGCCACCTGTTTCGAGCGAGAGCCCGACCAACTGGTCGCGCGTTCTACAATGCTACCTATCTCTCGGAGGTAGGGGCTGACTACCTAGTTACACCGCCGATCTTTCGTATCGAAGAACGTTCCTCTTTCTCTTTAACACCCTGCCGTGATCGTTTCTCCTCTCCTCCGTCCTAAGCGCGTTTCGCCGAGCTCCGATGAATGCGATAAACTCGATTCCCCGCGAGCATTCGTGTCGAGCTTTTGACCGGAAACGAACCGAGCGGACGATCGAAGCTCGAGCGTGTCTGTCTTTCGCGGTTCCGATCTTAGAGAGGGAGAAAGGGAACGGTACTCGGTTCGGTATTGTCGCCAGAGATCGGGAACCAACCGTTTGCCCCGCATTCGCGTTCCCCGTTACTCGCTCTTAAGCTGCGCGTACACCGTCGAGCACTCGGTAAACACCTTGCAACCAGATTAGAAATTTGAACAGAAACTTGAATTTAACAAAAATGCATAAACACGATACTAATCACCTTCTATCCGCATTCTAGTTTCTAAACGTGTTCACTAATATTTGACTTTACTCATAGAACTCGCAGTTTACGAGTCAGAGGACAATATGTTGACAACCGATTTCTAGTAAAGCAAGTTGTTTTTCGTCGAGTGTTTGCCAGTGGAGGAACACCTTTAGTCGACCAGGATGCAGAAGAGAGATTCCTCTGAAGGAATCCTCTCGCGAACGGTGTACGCCGAGAGATCTCTCTTGGTTAACTGTAAACGGCCCCCACCTGTCCCTCCAATTTCATTCTCTCTCGGTTGCGTCGAGCACTCCGCATCGAAACGCGAACGACGCGGAGCCTCTCTTTAACGCGCGCGGCCAATTACTGCCAATTAGCTCGATTCCTCCAACGACCTCCTCTGCTCCTTAACTCGTTACTCTCGTTAAGATACTGCCGCGTGTCTCTCGGTTCTAGATTTTTATTCTAAATCAAATTCAAACCATCCCCAATAGCACTCAATATTGCAACAACGTGTCTTCAACATTGTCACATTGCAATTTTCGTGCAATGTTGCTGCAATATTCCAATAACAGTGCATTTATACATACTTATTCATTTATTCATTATAGTCATTGAGTTCTATTCCGATCGGATTATAGCTCTACCTCAAAAATGGCAAAAGGTCATAAATAATAATGGCCAATATATACTTGAATAAAATTCGTTTTGAATAAAAGAAAGATTTAATCAAAAAATGACAAAAATCTCTTAATACATTTTCGGCTATCTAATATAAGTAATTTCATTCTTAAATAAATCAATATAAATACTCTTTCTTTGATTAGAATAAGAACAGGTTTAAGAAATTCAAGGTGCGTACGAGAGTGATTTAATTTTTGAAAAACGCTTGCTTGTTCGAATCACTTTTGATTGCCAACTAACCAATTCGCCAAATAGATAGTAATATAAACTTTGACATTTTCATTCTGCCGTTGCTGGCTGCTCGAACCAGTTTCCGCGAGCGAAAGGAACGATTTAACTCGTCTTGTGATTAGGAAGCACAGTTAATTTCGTAGTTAAGTACTCACTCCTGATTTTTCGACTCGACTGCATGTCAACAACGAGGAATTTATTATACTTCCCCGATACGAAAACTGCGATTGAATCTTGTCTACAGTAATTAGAATGACGCACGTTATTGATGAATCAGATCATAGAAAAATCATAATTCTTATATCTTATGCCCATAGCATGACATTTTGCAAACCGGATTTCTTGTTTGTTTCTTCAATACTGTTCCAATTACGCTTAGACCTAGTTTATAAATCGTTAAATTTTTATACGAGATATCTTATACTCAGGTTTCATATTTTTAATATTCACTAAATGCATTCCATAAAAATATTAAATACTAATGCTAATGTAACTTACGATAAACACTTGGCAACATTTATGACGGATAACACTTTGCGTCCGCACATTGAAAACAGTAGGTGTGCTCGGAGGCCCGGTTATAAGAAGCTACAAGGAACGATTAATTTTCATAGTGGAATTTCTGGCTCGGACACGAGGGACACATTAACGGGTCGCGCCTTCTGCTATTCCATGATACGATTGGTCGCCGCGGTAGCAAAATACACGTAAACACGTTCTTTGCATAATGAGAAACCACGATTGCGAGAGATCACGCGTTCAAAAGGCATTCGGTTGTTGTTGTCCGCATGTATAAAAGGGTAAAGCCGGAAGGAAGCTGGATCCACACGCGGTTCACGTTCATGGAACGTCGCATCGCAGCATGAAAGACGAGTTCAAGGTAAGAGGATGATTTTGAGATAGCTTTCTTAATAATAATAATAACAACAATAATAATAATAATAATAATAATAATAATAATAATAATACTTTATTAACGGGTATGGATTCTTGTAATACATAAATCTAAAGCATAAAATACATAAATATATAATGTAAGAGCGCGTACGAGGTATGTTGTGACGTTGACCAGACTCTCAACGACCTGAACAAATAGTAAGAGCATGTAAGAGGTATTTTATGGCGGTGACTATGTTCATAAGGACCCGAATGTGCTCACCCCGCCATTAGCCGACAGCACTGGGGTTTTTCCCAAAAAGAATAAGGCGCGTACCTTCTGTACCTTCTTTAAAACAAAGAGGAAACTCCCAGGGAGCGGCAGTTAGCATCATCCGATGCGAAGAATTTTTTTTTTAGAACTGGCTAAAGACAGCATCTGGAAACCTCATTTAAGCCTGGACCTACAAAACTTAGAAATGGGATCGAGGACCCAAAGCGGAAAGGTCCTTGCAAATCTGGTCATCGTCATAAAATACCTCTCACATCTTCCGACCATCTGTTCGGGTCCTTGCGAGTCTGGTCAAAGTCACAACACACCTCTTACACGTTCTTGAAATAGACAATAAGCAAAACCATATAAGAATAAGGCATAAATTCTACGCAATACTATTAATGATGAGAGGTCTTAAACAGTTGACAGTTGGCTCAAGGAGAGATTAAGGATTTACGTGGTTACCTCCTAACAGTTTCAACTTTTATCATGGAAAATTAATGATAGAGCTGAGTTCGTTAGCCGTTTTGCACGGTCTTAACCCCATGACATACAATGTCGTCTATTCGTTCCATGTGTCATTATAGACTTTGATGTCTCCGAGACGTCAAGAACTTAACAGGTATTAATTATTAAAAGAGTTTAGCATCAAATTCTGTTCTACTTGTATGTCAAGGGGTTAAAACAGGATTTAGATATCCAAATCTGAAGGACACGAAAAATGTGGCGATATTGTTCGACGAATACTATAAACACAATAAAATTTCGTGATAACGTTTGTTAACTATTAAAACAATTGATCTTTGGATAAGACTGTTG